ATACAAGCAAATAAATCAAGTGCCTATAAGACGTCATCTTGGACCACTATGGGTTGAGATCCAAATTGGATTGCCGGAAGATGACCCCCTAAAATCGAGTCTTTTAAGCTTTAGACTCAGCTGAATTTATACAATTATCACACTCAGTAGAATGTGTTCAGGTGACCAGCATGCAGCTCCATACACCCTCCATAGCTGAAGACAAAGTTAGAAGCAGATACCAATCCAAAGAAAATGAAAGCTTAATGGATCCAGGCTGGACGGCTGTAAAGCATTTCCCCTAGTTTTGCATTAAACATTAGCAGAACACTGGTGCAGAAGCCAACAGGTTGTACACGTGGTATCTTAGCGAAGGTTAGTGATGTTGTACTAAAGTATGTCAAAAAAGAGCTTATGCGAAACAACTATTCAAAACGCTTCAAGGACGCGCATATGAAGTCCAAGACCCCGCGATTCACATTGCAAATGTTTGAGTTAAAATAACTGTTCCATATGTTGGAACTAAAAACGAGCTATTTCGATGGGGTCTATGCATATCGATTGATGCAGATCTGCAGAAACCTTTAAAATATACCATCAGTTGTAATGAAAAATTGTAGTTGTAAGTACCGTGCATAATCTTCTGCATTCAGTGATAACTTGCAGGTTCAACTACTCCCGTAGGAATACATAATTGAATGAGTGAGGCAGCTCTAAGGAGGGCGGTATAAGGAACCTGTATTAAATTGACTCATCAACCAATGACTTAAAATTAAGTTAAAAGTCAGCACTAATTATCTGATCGGCACTGGGCATTCCACTGTAATTGTTATGATTTTGGGATCTTGTGTAACCTAACATCGCAACTAATTCTTCAATCAAGAGTACAACTGCTTGCTATTACTGAGGCTGTACGCCTTAGATAGACAACAGCAAAGCTTTGTATCCAAAAGAAGCAAGTTGCATTATTGTAACATCGTGTCGAGCAGCCAAAAAGGAATCGGCTCCTACCCAACAATACCGCATACTTTTAAACGTTATGGAGTCTGACGTGCAGCATAAGAACTGTTGTACTTCGTACGCTCCAGTGAAAGTGATCTGCCTTCGCGTTTGCTTACTAATTAGACCTTCTTTTAAATTATTCCAGAACAGGTATTTGTCTAAAGCTTACCTCATATTTTTACCTTGGGGTAGAAACTTTTCATAAAATGCAATCAGATCATGAGTTTAACTTCATCTATCTGTCACAACTGGTGTATGCAACAAACTCTACAAGTCACCAGTAATCCCATACACTTTTACCTCTCCACGTATAACTGCGCAAACTAGGAAACAAACATGGAACATTGACACTATCAGCTGGTATCTATTTGTTTATTACACGATACCAGCGCACCAGACAATACGTAACAGACGGGTGGTAGACTAATAGATGCTGTGAGATGAGTTTCACGTGGAACGCCATGTAGTAAGTAGAAAGGTGTCAGTCAGTATTCTCTACGCTCATTGCTCAATTCACAATTCTACTAACTGAAGCTCAAAGTCAAACAAAAGCGGTCATAAACGGAAGTGTTTGCATCGGATTGAGCATAAATTTCGTTACTTAGGCTAATTTTTCGTTGGCGGAAGTGGTTAAGGTGGAGATAGGAACGAAATGAATGCTTGGAACAGAGTACATGTCGTAATAGATCTACAAGACCGGTTCTCAGAAGCAAACTGGTAGCGATGTGAGTTCGGTTTGCGCAAACCAGAACAACTGTGGTCAAATTCAGAGGTATAGCAGACGTACTAACATGTAAGTCTAAAAAGCAAGTTCGAAGTTCAGAAAGCGTTACCTACCACATTGTCCTAAATGTCCCGCTTTACGGAACTGCAAAAAAGAAAGTTCACCACGTCTACTCTATCACGTAAGATAATAGTTATCACCGTTGCGCATTCAGTTGTACAAAAAGCGGCCAATATACAAAATGGCAGAGTACGAAAAGAAAGACCTCATGTGGTTTCCAGTATTGTCATAACACCAGTTGCAGGTGGAGTTTAAATGAGGAAAACATGAAAAATCGACAAAGACAGAATTCGACCGCCATTTGTCGGGATATAAGATAATTAAAAATTCATATTTAACGATAGAGAACGAAAGATCATCTAGTGAGTAAATGCATTCAATGATTAATTATTAGACCATTACAATCATACGGAGAATAAAAATTAAAAGATTCAGCCAGTTAGTTAAAAAGGAACAGCACACTTAAAGATCTATGTCAGATGTGAGGAAACAAATGATATCTTATTAAGCTAGCCATCTTCTACCGCGTCTGACCGGAGACAGTCGAGCTGGGAGTCTTCCGTCTTCGCTGGCCTGGGAAGCTGGAGAGCCTGGACCATCTTCTTCTGTGAGCATAAGGACGGCTGGAACAATGGAATGCAAATTGCTTCAGCTGTCGTAAGTATACGAAGGCGGTAATGTTTGGTTCGGTGGGTCGAAAACTTGTAAAGTATTCGGAAGGCGCGTTCCCAATCCACCTCATAGCCGGTGTCCACAAAGTGGGGCAGAATGGCGCTACTGATGGTCCCGGCGCCCACTTGACGCAGCCAACAAGGGCAATGCTCGTTCACGCGTTTGGATAACTGCCGTGCCGTTCGACCAATATACGTTGCACACAAAGCACGCGAATGGATAAATTATAATTGAGGTGGTCAGCATCAGCACTTGTCATCTTTTTAGGATCGAATGAGTGGTTCCGTCGAACACACTCACTTCAACGAGGCTGCTGGGAAGGTTGACTTTACCGCGGCCGAAATGTTTCTGGTTAGACGCTCGGCATCGGCGTTCGCTTTACATGGTGAAGAATAAATAGCTCTTCCTTTGTTGTTGTTAACAATAGCACTGGCGTGGGGTTCGCTTGAAAGTTTCTTTTAATAAATCCATCAGGAAAACCGTTTTCACGTTGAGTATTCTGTATGAGCAGCAACTCGGCTTCTAGGTTGTCATTTGTACAGTTTCGACGTGCTCTTGTGGTAAGCCAGTAAACCAAATTGCGCACGTATCTTAGGAACGAAATGTGAAAGTTTGTATACTGACTTATTGATGTTGTCTTTTTGTAGACCTGACTTTGGATTGGTCCGTCTGGGCACATAGTTAACAAGACATGGTGATATGATAGTCGAGTAAGGTTTTCATTCTCTTAACCCAACTGAACTACTGCATGTATTAGGTTAAAGTGGCCAAGTTTTTCACCCAGATTACCACTTTATTCATCACAACAAATATATCTTCCTTCTGTCGAGTATAACGATCAAAAACGTCCATCGTTGCTCGCATTTCGCTTCTTTGTAGCTTTGCTAGGAAGAAATCATGTAATAGCGGTCCGAGGGGGATCCGATGGCAACGCGCTCCTTCTGCCGTTAGTATTTTCAGTTGAATAGAAACTGTACATTATAGGTACAGCGTAACAAAAGGCCTTAGAGGTCACGCGTAGTTATACATACTTTTATTCCTGACCCTGCAATTTACTCGCAAATGTAATCGATCTTCTCAACCAGTGGGACGTTGGCAAAAAGAGCGACGACATCGAAAGTGAGCATTAGTTTCTTATTAATTTTATCATCTTTGACTTTTTCGATGGAATGGAAGCTGTCACGTTTGTCGGTAGCGAGGGGTTGTTGCACAGGTTTAAGTATTTCTACAAGACCCTCAGCGACGGCATGGTACGGTGATTAGGCCATCGATAAAGTAGGACGAAGTTGGATGTTGGCACTGTGTATATTTTTGGTAACCCATGCCAATGGCATTGTTAACAACAACAAAGGAAGAGCTATTTATTCTTCACCATGTAAAGCGAACGCCGATGCCGAGCGTCTAACCAGAAACATTTCGGCCGCGGTAAAGTCAACCTTCCCAGCAGCCTCGTTGAAGTGAGTGTGTTCGACGGAACCACTCATTCGATCCTAAAAAGATGACAAGTGCTGATGCTGACCACCTCAATTATAATTTATCCATTCGCGTGCTTTGTGTGCAACGTATATTGGTCGAACGGCACGGCAGTTATCCAAACGCGTGAACGAGCATTGCCCTTGTTGGCTGCGTCAAGTGGGCGCCGGGACCATCAGTAGCGCCATTCTGCCCCACTTTGTGGACACCGGCTATGAGGTGGATTGGGAACGCGCCTTCCGAATACTTTACAAGTTTTCGACCCACCGAACCAAACATTACCGCCTTCGTATACTTACGACAGCTGAAGCAATTTGCATTCCATTGTTCCAGCCGTCCTTATGCACACAGAAGAAGATGGTCCAGGCTCTCCAGCTTCCCAGGCCAGCGAAGACGGAAGACTCCCAGCTCGACTGTCTCCGGTCAGACGCGGTAGAAGATGGCTAGCTTAATAAGATATCATTTGTTTCCTCATATCTGACATGGATCTTTAAGTGTGCTGTTCCTTTTTAACTAACTGGTTGGATTTTTAATTTTTATCATATGATTTTAATTGTCTGTTGATGATTTATTAGAGGCAATCGCTCACCATTTGGTCTATTGTTCTCGAGTATTCATTTTCACTATAAATGTTATTGAGTGCACATTCGGTGAAATTCTTAATAATTGCAAATATTGTTGGAAGATTTTCATGATACGGCTTGCCTGCTACGACTTTAAATCGATTAAGTAAACGCTGTATTGTTTTCACCCGGCATAAGTTAATGGGGTGTATTTTAAATTTGCTTCATCAAATGGAATTTTAAGCTTATATCTTATTGTAGACATTTAGAAACTCTCATCACATGTTTCTGTTTGAAATATCTCGCACAAGGTGCAAAGTAGCAACCATCTGTTCGCTATAAACGTGAAATAATTGGGTCAAACCCGTCGCATTATGCTTCCAAATGGTGCCATTTCGTGTAGCGTACACTTTCGGTTCAACAATGTTGCGTCAGTCTGCCACCGCATTAGATGTGAACGAAATTCAAATAAGCGAAGCTGAATATTAATCAACTGATTCTCTCTTCGACCAGTTTGGGAGACTTACCTGCTCCCCTTGGCTGAGTTTACCACGTTCCATCAAAATGCTCGAAAGTGCAGTGTTACGCATTTCCTTCCATCCTTTTGTTCTCATCCTCTTCAAATGCATTAAAACGACACCCCCATTCACTCCTGTCGGCTGAAAATGAACAGGGTCATTTGCTGTACTATATTCTGTGGGCAAGCAAATAAGTGTCCCTACGTGCTTTCATTACCAATCAGATATGACACACGTAAGTACTCAAGGTCTTGCCTAGATCCATAGGGTAATTCCAAAGGACTAGTTGTGAACAGAACAAATATGTATTCTTTGCCTACCTCAGTTCTCCATGGAATTTAAGTTGAACAGCGTTTGAAGAAGTTAACTGACAGTGTGTGTCCTATTTGGCTGATGCACTGACACTGATTCTGCTATATACTATACGGATTTCATGTTAAAAAGCAACCAGTAGCGCATGCAAGCGGAACTTTGAATCGAGTTACTTCGCTCAGTAATGCTTGAAACGGTTCTGATACACTCCGCTTAAGTAACTATACACAGAATCGAAAATGCTTCTCGGATCGAGCAATATATAAATGGTTGTACCATTTTGGGGATAGGTAATTGGCAGTCCAACTATGTACTAAAACTCTTCTAAAGTCAGCGTGTTACCAACAGTGGGTGTCTCATTCAATGACCTGAACGGATTTAACAGAGCGCATAAGAGCCAACTGTCATTTTAACGATGATAATGACTACATTTCGTTAACACACAATCGATGGTAGTCATACGATATACATTTATCAAGAGGTTTTTAACAAGTTCTACTTTCGACCCGTTGTGAAAAGTTCGGGCACACATGTCTAACTACGAAGACATATACAAGTAAGTAGATAAACAACAAACAAACAGTCACATAAAGTTCACCGCCTAGTATGTAAATGACAGCTTATGTCGATGGACAAATAACAACGGGGATTTCGAAGATCTCCTTTTCTACTGAATTTAATCAGGTGTTCTGGTTCTCCAGTGCATGTGCTGTCGTGACTACGCTTATAATGCACATCAACTTGAAAATTTTCGCTGGTAATCATGATACGCAAACTGAGATTTTCCTCAGTAGTCTCGAACGTGAACCGACTCAATCCAATGTAGTTAAGTGGCATCCTAATGGAGTTGCATAGATGTTCATTTTGTTAACTAGCACTTAAATAAACTACGTACTATCTGATGGAACGGTTCAGCAATGCCTACCACAAGCAATAAAATCTAACTGTATCATTAAAACAGAGGAAAGATGGCATTTCAAAGTGCATTTAGTTGCCAGTGTGAGGATGGTTAACTCGAGATCAGTATATCTTGAATGTTACACCGTCGGCAGAAATACATCTAAGCTATGTACTCATGTGACGCAAGCAGAAGGTTGTCCTATTTTCATTACCTTGAAAACATCTGCATTTCGGAGAAATGCTAGTGCGAACTGAGTTATATGTTGACAAAACTGCAAGTAACTTGTGTCAGTTTCCATTTGTCGGCTAGCAAATCATGGCCCAAGACTGTTTTATGATGGTCCGGATTTAATGGATGGGCCTTATTCATATTATTCGATGGAGACCCCTTACTTAAGTTGTTAAACAATGGACCATAGATTGTAGTACCTAGATTCTTTCTAGTCGCCTTTCCACAAATTTAGCCAAGGAATATCTTGTTAACTGCCCAGTGACTTAATGTTCTGGTCGCCAAATCCAACTTTGATTTTTTCGCTGTTCCAAGAGTCGATCATGGATCGCAGTGGCATTGTGATCAAGAGGTCAGTCGTGAATCACTAAGCTTCGAGTTCCACCACATCTCAGACAAGCTTCACCTGAAGAGTTCAAACGAGGATGAAAACGTCTGGTGTCCTTATTGAGAGGAGTAACACCGAAATATCTCCATGTGCAGTTCAGGCTTCATAAATTACTCCGCTTTCGGGATATGTAAAATTTCTTTGGCTATCCGACTAGAAATTTGCTGCAGCGATTAGCATAACACCACTTAAGCATGTTGTGGCTGAGTAAATTCGAAAGTATCAACGATATTTTCTGAAGCGTTTGACTTGACGTAACCACTCACGTCATATCACAAAGACCTTGTGTGTTTTCTACTCAGTGACAAATTCTGGAATACTTCTTGAAAATACGTGTGAAGCATGCACAGTCGAACAAATGCAATCTGCTCTAAACAGCACGGCACTATGGGTGGAAGCCCGGAGTACTAAGACCAAGCATCATTCACATCAAACACTGTCGGTGAATGCGGATTTCGTGTCATCTCATCGGCGCACCTTACCCTTACGTGGTTGTGCTAGGTATCATGTGACCATGTAACTGGAGAGGTGCTGGTTTTCTGGGCTTCTAGGTGGTGCGTCGATAGCCGTTTCTCACCCTGGTTATCAATTCTTACCAGATGTAAACATTGAGAGCTGGCTATCTGTCCAAGCTCTTCCTTCAGATACGAGCCGTGACTAAGCCTTATTAGTCTTTTGGCTCATGCTGCAATCCACTAAGTTTCTCTGGAATATTTTGTCTTGGTATCTTTGGCTGAGTAGCCGAGCCGTTCACATTCGCAGTCATGAGTACAACAAATGGTCCGAGGTGTATCTATAACACACTGAAAACTACGAAACCGATGTCGGTTAATCCGTATATGTGCAAAGTGGACTGCACAGAGATTGTACTTCGCAATCCATTCACACAAGAAGTACTTCAAATGACCATGCAATCCGTCATTCAGTCCCACTATCTTTGTTGTTTCCTGTTGTCCACCTCTGTTAGCTTTCCTCCCGACATCATTTGTCTCGATCAGTTCCGTGCTTCCTTCGTTGTTCTCTGCAGCTCTACATCTTGCCGAGTGGTTGTGCTATGGAGGTTCAAACGGCCAAGAAGTAATTATTTAAACTTGGATCTCCACGGATCTATTATAACTTACTGGACAGGTAAAATATTGGAAAGCCGGAAAGAAGTAATATTGCAGTGCTCAGTCACCACCTCAGTCAAACTGCCAACGTGAGTGCTACGAATATAAATGCAAATTAAATGCACAGATCTAGACGGGTCGCTTTATCTGTTGCACACAACGCTGTGGATGAGCAAAAACATGATAAAACAGGAGCCATTGTGATTGCTTCTCCCATCCGTGTGTACAGTTTGTCGCTCGATGAGGTCATACGCATACACGGCAGCCTAGAACTCTGAATGTTGAACAAGCGCAGGCTACTGGAACCAAATGTACGCTTCAAGTGTGACGCGCTGAATTGTTCTCCATGGAACTCTGTTGTCTTGGCGCTGATATCGCGCCTCCCATTGGGAAAAACATACTGTTTGTGCTGATTACACATGATGGTGAACCGAAATACTTCTACTGCATCAAGTGAGGAAGGTATCACCAATGCGTTATTCGACCGCTTGTATTGTTACTTAATTAAAGAGATGACTGGCTTTACCTCAATCTGGCACTTAGACTTCTCCTCTAGCAGAGTCAGTATGTAACGTTTATTTGAGCCACCTGTTGGCCAACGTGTTCTGTTGGTGGTAAACAACTGCAGTCATAACGCTCAAATTTCTTTGTTCTAAAATCCAAGAACAGTCAAGATATTGTCTGAGCGCTTTCATCGCTCATGCGGTGTAGGATATGACAACGTTGTGACATTGTCAGCGTGTGCATGCTAACGCTGCAATTCTGTGCTCTGTGTTAAATTGGACTTATCCCAGCACATCCCAGCACATTGTGCCACCTCTCCGGAAGTACGCCCAATCGATTCGGATCACCGAGCTCTATCCAACGGGAACCATATTTTTGAAGTAAATCCAACGACACTCTGGTACACCCCGAACAACGTCTTCAGAAGTTTATTCACTAAGGCTAACTAGAGAAACTTTACGCATTTGTGTTTCGTCAGGACTTTTGAGGTACCATTCGACAGAGCTTCTTTAGGGCTACCAAACAATATATAACAGTACTGTGCACCACTGAATGCGACAGCTACAGGATTTTTTGTCATTGCATATTACCACCATACGTTTACGTGCACTTAACTGCACAAAGCCTGTGTGATTTTGGCTACCCGTGCTCCTAGTGACGCATCACTACCAAACTCGCTGACACATAACCCCCTGACCAAAGCAGACGACTGACGCAACTCAAACGGCGTGAATATAAAAGTGTATAAAAAACACTGCTCTATGGCCTGGAGAAGCTTGTCGACCGAGAATCCAGTGAGCAACAAACCCAGGATCAATCGTAGCTCAGACAAGCTGGGAACAGAGATCAGCTCGAAGATCACGTGTTCGTTCTGTGCCAATTCCTACAACGCAACAAATGTGAACATTAAACCTGACGTAGTTAACAGCGTATGCACAGATAGCTTGTGGTTCGGGGACTTATATTCAGCTGGTCCCATATTTAAGATTGTTCAGACGCTCACGATAAGGTGTGGAATGTTGTCTGTTACGTCGGCAGAATAAAAGGAACTTATCGCGGTTTTGGAAGGGAAAATCTCTTAACTCGATTTGCAGAGTAATGTATTACGTAGCCCGAATCCCAGACCTTTTAAAGATAAGGGTTCCCTTGCAAAAATGCTACACTATCCACCAGCGAAAGGCAAACATCATTGGTGACAAACAGCAGTGAAAACGGGCCGGTTATACGGTCTCCCAAACCTTACCCAATGCGGAAAAGCCTACAGAATTAAGCACAAATGACTCGATCATCTCTGTCATTAGCAGCGCAACAACGCATGACTCCTACAAATATTGCAACTAACGGCGCTGTACGTAAACAGTCTTGCTGTAGCCTTGGCTTATCATCCAGAGAAGGAAAACTGGACATTCCACATGACAATCCTCAGCTCACAAAGAGCTGCACAACAAACAACCACTACGCAACCAAAAGCTTTGAAAGTGATATGTTCACAAGCCCTAGAACTCACCAGTGAATGGTTAAAAGGTAGACAATCTGAGGAGCAAAAAACCGTTGGGCTGAGATAACCTATGCACTCGGACTAAAAGGTCCTCCCAACCAGTCTTGCCTGTAACGAAATCTATCATCACAAGTGCACGAACCTCGGTTACTGCAAGTAACCTTTGGCAACACACGCGACCTGGACGGTGTTCTCTTAGCA